TCTGCCCCCCCCCCCCGCCCCGAATGGAGGGCCAGGGTGAGAGAGAAAAGGCTTGCAAGAAAGTCACAAGACAACTCGTCTTTAATTCTGACAGTTACCTTTGGAATTATTTCTTAAGAACATTTTTCCCTTTTCTGTGGTTTGATGGAAACATTTTTCTCTGATTGATAAAGACCCCACATAATAACCCACCCAACAGGGCATCTTAGTGGGAGTAGCTGATTAGAGTCCCTTCCGCCTGAGATGAGGTCACGGCTATAGAGCCCAGGCTACCCTGGGAGACTCACACAAGACTGTGCTGAGAAATCTCTGCTCTTTTCTGCCCCACATCCTCCCTGGGACTGAACGCCCCCCCTTTTACAGAAAGGGCCCGAGGGGAGAAGAAGGAGGCGCAGGTGCGAGCCCAGAAAGTGCAAAGGAAGCTCTTGGTGCTGAAGGGAGCCCCTGGGCCCGGTGCAGGCGGCTGCAAATGAAGCACCGCTGCATTGAACACTTATTTCACCTATATTTTTAGATCAGCAAGGCATAGGCAGCTTCAAAAGAAAAATGCATGAAAGAGGAACACTGGGGAGGGAAAAATAAAACCTGGCCTAAGGAAATTTCCAGGCTGTTCTAGGGATGCTTTGAGGGAATTCGAATGACGCGCGCCTGCCCAGTACCCTACCTACAGACATATTTTCGGAAAAGGAAAGGGGGGCAAACACACAGGCACGCACTCCCTTTGGAAGCACAGTCCCTTTGGAACTGAGACTTCCCACTCCCACCCCACCACCGCCCCCCCCTCCCCCTCAGCTACTCAGCTACTCAGTCCTGGAGGAGCCAGCTCGACTGGTCTCCGGCTCTGGCTCCCATCCGCACCCCCGGGCGCCCTGCTGGGCCACAGCCGCCCGCGGCCCCGCCACCGCCCAGGTCACCCTGGAGCGCTTTGCCGGGTCCCGCCTCCCTCACCCAGCACCCCGGTCCTCCTCACTCCTCTTTCTGCTAGAAAACAGAAAAAGGAAGAAAACGGAAAGCCCCCTTTTTGGCCTACAGTTTCAGCAGGGGCGCGGGGGCTCGACAGTCCGAGGTGACTCGGGTCGGATAATCCTCCCCAGGTGGGGCGCCCGTTTGGGGAGAAATCCACACGTCGGGCCGTGAGAGTCACATGCGTTTGCGGAACCCTTGCTGGGAGCTCCGGAGGCCTGCGACGGGTCACACGCCCACTCGGGCAAAATGTCCAAAGGTCACCTTTATTGGGCCGGCCACAGGTACTTATTGCGCACCTAGGACGGAGGCCACCTGTGCGCCGAGACGGGGCCGACCCGCCGCTCCAAGAGAAGAGCCGCCGCCAAAGGCGTCCCCAGCACCCTCCCCCCCCCCCCGCCCTGGGGAAAGGGCTCGTTCCAGAGGGGCTGCAGGGAGCGGGGTGCTTGGGGACCCCGGGGTCCCGCTGGAGGGCACTGGGGTCTTTTAAACCCCGGGGAACCGGGCCCCAGGGGATTGACGGAGAGAAGGGGTGTGCGCATCCCTGAGCACCTCTCCAAGAGCATGCCCCGGGGCTGAGGTCCTCGGGGGACTCTGCAGCTCAGCCCCACCGAGTTCTGGACCATGCACCCCTCCTGAAGACGGATTCAGACGCGCTCCCCACGTTTGCTAGGAAATTTTGGAGAGCGGGGTCATATGGTTCCTGATGCTCCGGGTAACAGGGAACCCCCTTCGCCCACCCCCATCCGGAGACGGAACCCCCCCCCCCCGTGCGCTGTGTTCGCACCGCGGGCGCGGAGCCCGAGAAACTCGCAGTAAGCCAACATCCCTGGGCTCCGGACTCCGCGCCCGCGTAGACGCGGAGGGAGCTCGGCGGCCCCGGCTGGGGAAATTGAACCCGGCGCCGGCCCCAGTCGCTGAGAGGCGGGGGGGCTGGGGAAGGAGGGGGTGGAGAGGGGTGATCCCGGACCTCGGGAAACCGAGGTCCGCCTCGGGATCTCCTTGCGCCTCCGAGTCCCTCCTGCGCGCGGCTGACCTCGGGGCGCTCGCCCAGAGCCGGGGTCGGAACGCGCGCACTTGGGAAGCGGCCTCGGCTGCCAGCCTCCTCCCCACGAGAACGACGAGCCCAACGCGTTCGGCTCTCGGCAATGCTCTGCCTGAAACTGGGCCCACCCAGCCTCAGTTTCCCGATCTGTAATCTGAACACTGAGCATGGGTTCCCTTCCTTCGGGCTCCCTCTGACACCGGTCCTCCGGTCGCCGGTCGCCGACCTCCTCCTGGGGCGCGGAGGAGAGGTCAGGGGCGACCCGAGAAACTCACACCGAACCGAACCCCTGAAGGGTTGGGGACGGGGGGAGGAGTTGGCACTAGGGCCCCCCCCCCTGCAGAAATACAGGGCGGATCAGGGGTGTCCACGAGTCAGGCTTGGCCTGGTCCTGGCACACCGCGCAGAGGGCAACGTCTGGTATCTGGGAGACTGGGGTCCTTCTTCTGGACCTGGTGTCCCCGTCCTGTGCAGACTTAGGAACGTCAGGCACCTTGAAGGCTCTTCTTCTTGCCAGGTTCCCTACAGACACACACACACGCCTCCCAGTTCCTCTCTAACTGGGCTGCCCAGAGGTGAATCCGAACAGGAGGGAAACATCGAGTAGGAATTTCTGCAGAGATAAATCTCAGCAGCAAAAGCAGTCCTGATTGAGGGGAGCTCCCCACCACCACCACCACCACCATCTACGTTTTTCTGCAGTTTCTGGGAGTTGGGCAGTTTCTGGGCTTTTGGCGCCCCCTCCGGTTACAGTTGAAAATTGCAGCATCTTAAAAGTCCACCGATTGTTTATCACAAGTTTTCGAGAAGATAACAGGAATACAAAGTGTTTGCACCAAATGGACAGAAGCATATACGAAGCCCTGCAGGTTTATGGTTTGAAACTCGATAGATTATGTATCTCCCGTTACGTAATTGCGTTACATATCTATTCACGTGGATGTACTTCTCTTGACAAATATTTAGAGAAATATTGCAAAAATATCTTAAAGACACAGTCTCCGGTGCCTTTAAGCCCCGTAAACATGAGAATTACAATAAAATGCAGCTAAACACAGACGCCCTGCTTAAAATTTCTGCCCGAAGTTCTGGACTCTGAGTGTCCTCCGGGGTCAGGTGTCTACGAATCACAGAGTTGTGCTCACAAATGACCCCCTCCCCAAGACACAGAAATCTGTTGCTACCACGCGGGACTTGTTTCTCCCAAGAAAGGACCAAGTTGTTCTTCTACTTTTCCAGCATATTCTCGGACCCATGAATACCTGGTGATTGTATGGAGGGCTCTAAAACTTGTAAACAAGCTATGGGATACTATCTGTATCCACTCTGAGTCAGTTGCATTCGTTTAAAAAGCAAACACCATTTAACTGTAGTTGTGAGTGACTTACTACCTTCTGAAGAGTTCCGTTTCCTATGAGAAATGTCGACTTCTTCGGAAGAAAATGAGAGAAAACAAGATTTAAAACAAACAAACAAACAAAAAAAAAGATTTTTTTTTTCCCCTCCAGGAAAACATTCTTTTAAATCTTGCAATAGGTGTCCGCAATCAGAAATGAACCAAGTCTTTGCTATGATGCGGGCCGGTTCACCATAACAAGAATTTAAGTCGAGGCGGACATCTGGGAGACCCAGAAAGGGTGTGTGTGGGGGGGGGGGGAGAGGGGGGGTAGTTTAAAATAAGGCGATCTCCACAGTTGCGCGTTTATTTGTGACTCTGAAGACCTGTAACCCCGCAGGAGGTTAGGATTTTTCTTCTCTCCCAGAAGTGATACCTAACCGGGCACTAAAGGCAAGTTGGTGCAAACACAAAGGTCGTGCTCAAATCACACTTGAGATCCATCAGAGGCATCCCCATCCCCACCCCACCCCACCCCACCCCACACACACACACTCCCTCCCCCAGAACTCCCAGCTGCCTGCGAGTCGGAAAAGCACCCGACTTACAGTCAGGAGACACAGGAGCTTCCCCCTCCAGGTGTGCTGAAAAGGAGGGCGAGAGCCGGCGAAGCTGCACGACTCCGCCAAAGTGGAGTGTTTTGCGCGCGGTGGTGCCCACATGCCTGGCCTTTCTGCAACCCGAGTGACCGGCCTCAGCCTCTCGGCCCGGGAATGGCACAGTCGCAAAGCTTGGGTCCCTTCCTTGCAAGCCCGAGCCCTTTGCAAGCTCTTCCCAACGGCGACCCTGCTGACAGTGTGGACTCGGCCGGCCGGGAGGTGAAAAGCAAGAGCGTCAAAGCAGTTGCCTGTCACTAAGCCGCGTGGCGGGGTGGGGGCTCTGGGGTGGGGGTGGAGGGGCTGGGGGCGGGGTGGGGGGGGGTGGCTGGAGTAGGACTTGTCAGAGTCCAAGGTCGCTGCGGCGCGGGACGGCTCCGGGGCTAACTGCGCCGCGGCCGCCGGCCTCCGCGGGGACCCAGCTTCGGTTTCCATTGATTCCCCTTTGCAAGAGCGAGCGAGCGCACCCGAACCCCCCGACCGGCCGCACAGGCCCGGGGGGAACCGGAGCGTGCTAATCTATTTATGCGGATTATTACGGAGGACCGGCGGGCGCTGAGTCGCCAAAATAAGTTGCTTCAAAAGGCCATTTCTAAGCACTTTCGGAGGGGGCAGGCTCCGGGCGCAGGCACGGGGCTGGCTGCGCGTTCCGGAGCCGGCGCTTTCCGAACGCTACAGGCTCCAGCTAAGCCTCGAGGACCGTGCAGAAAGCAGGGGAAAGAAATGCTCCGGGGGTGGGGGCAGAGCCTAGTCTAGACACGCGCACGCGGGCGCGCACACACACACACACACACACACACACACACGGGCGCGCACACGCGCGCAGGCAGGCAGGCGCGCAAAATTCGTGCAGAGACGGCACCACACTTCTGACATTACGAGAGCACCGCAGACTCACACACTTGGGCGTCCCGGGTCCCCCGCCTTCCCCGCTGCACCCCCCCTCCCCCCCTCCCCAACCCCGCGCCGGACCAGAGGCAGCGCTCCCCTCCCCGCTCCTCCCCTCGGCCTTTCGTCACCCAAGCCCGGAGCCTTACCCGCAAAATCCAGTCCAATCAGCTGCCTGCCCACCCCTGGAATGCCGGGCCGTGATTGGCCGGCCGTCTCTAAGGTGAGGCGCAGGAGTTATTAAAGAGCCCCGGGGCCGGGAGTCGGGGAGCGGAGAGCGGAGCTTGAAACTCACTGGGAACTTCAGTGGCGCTGCGACTTGCCCGATTCACTCCAGGAACTTTTCTCTGCGGGAGGAGAAGCGAAGGGGTGCAAGCGCCTCGCCTTTGCTCTCTCGCTCCCCCTCCTCCTCCTCCTCCTCCTCCTCCTCCTCCTCCTCCTCTCCAGCTCGCCTCCCCCCACCCCGAGCGGGCAGCTGCGGGCTGGCCACCGCGCGCATCCCCGAGCGCCCGCCGCCGCCGCAGCCCCGGGACGCGCCAGGCTCCCCGGGAGCCGCTCGCCCCGCGTCCGGGCAGCCGAGGGGAGAGGAGCCCGCGCCTCGACGCCCCGAGCCGCCGCGGCTTCTCGCCTTTCCCGGCCACCCGCCCCCTGCCCCGGGCCCGCGCATGAATCTCCTGGACCCCTTCATGAAGATGACCGACGAGCAGGAGAAGGGCCTGTCCGGCGCCCCCAGCCCCACCATGTCCGAGGACTCGGCGGGCTCGCCCTGCCCTTCGGGCTCCGGCTCGGACACCGAGAACACGCGGCCCCAGGAGAACACGTTCCCCAAGGGCGAGCCGGACCTGAAGAAGGAGAGCGAGGAGGACAAGTTCCCCGTGTGCATCCGCGAGGCCGTCAGCCAGGTGCTCAAGGGCTACGACTGGACGCTGGTGCCCATGCCCGTGCGCGTCAACGGCTCGAGCAAGAACAAGCCGCACGTCAAGCGGCCCATGAACGCCTTCATGGTGTGGGCGCAGGCGGCGCGCAGGAAGCTCGCCGACCAGTACCCGCACCTGCACAACGCCGAGCTCAGCAAGACGCTGGGCAAGCTCTGGAGGTAGGGCTGGCGCGGCCGGGTGGGCTCCGCGGCGCGGGCGCGGGCGGGGGCGGGGGGGCGCTGGCCCGGACACTCTGCGCGCCCCGCCTCCCAGCAGGAGGGGGTTGCCGGTCCGGGACCGGCAGGCTGGGTGGGGTAGGGTGGGGGGGGGTTGGAAGGAGGGGGGAGAGGACGAAGTGTAACTTGGCCCAGAGTTTGACAAAGTTCTTGGATGGGAGGGGGGAGGGGGGAGGGCATGGTGGGGGGGGTGGGCCGGAGGGTGGGAGACCGCTTGTGGGAGACGCGGTGGGAGGGGGCGGCCAGCCCTATCTCCTGTGGCAGTGAAGTTCGATCCCAAGTGGGGGGCTGGGTGGGAAGTGAGGTCAGCCCCTCTCTCGCTCCAAGTGCGCTCTCTCTCTCTCTCTCTCTCTCTCTCTCTCTTGCAGCCCTCCAGCCAAGGAGATGGGATTGGGGTGTTGGGGTGGTGGGGTGCTGGAGGGGACGCCGGCAGGAATGGGAGGGGGGGCGCAAGTGGAGGGGGGGTGCAGTGCAGGAGGAGCTCCTTGACGATTAAGTGGTTTTGTTTTGTTTTGGAGATGGTTAAGGGTGTTGGGGCGCGGGGTGGGGGGGGCGTTCTAACGACAGTAGCGAGGGCGCTTCGAGCCCGAGCCCGAGCAGCGGAGAGCTGTTTTCATCTCCAGGGTTTCCAAACTAGGCGAGGAGGAGAGAGGGCGGGGCGGAGGGTGACCCGCTCAGGTCCCACTCAAAGAGCCGAGATTTATTTCTTTGCTTTGCTTTTTCCTTTCTTTTTTTCTTTGCTTTCTTCCTTTTTTCTCTTTCTTTCCTCCTTTCTTTCTAATGGAAGAGGAGTTAACAAGCTGCAGCAGCGGCTGCGAAGCAGGAAGGGAGGAAGGGGTGGTGCGCGCACAGGCCGAGCGGTCGGGGTCACCTCCCCCTCCGGTTCACAGCACAACCCCCCCCTCCTCCCCCGTTCCCCTCTGCGCCCCCTCCCCCGCCCGCAGACTGCTGAACGAGAGCGAGAAGCGGCCCTTCGTGGAGGAGGCGGAGCGGCTGCGCGTGCAGCACAAGAAAGACCACCCGGATTACAAGTACCAGCCGCGGCGGAGGAAGTCGGTGAAGAACGGCCAGGCGGAGGCCGAGGAGGCCACCGAGCAGACGCACATCTCCCCCAACGCCATCTTCAAGGCGCTGCAGGCCGACTCGCCGCACTCCTCCTCGGGCATGAGCGAGGTGCACTCCCCCGGCGAGCACTCGGGTGAGTCCTCCCGCCCCAGCCCCGGGCTAAGCGCCCGGCGGCCCCCCCGACTGGCACAGCCCCGGGTCTGCACGGAGGAGGCTCCGTTGCTTTGGGACTTTGCGCTCCCCGGGGGGGGGGGGGAGGGAAGAACTGCCCCTAACCCCTGATCCTTCTCCCCTTGCAGCCGGGGCCCCCCCTGCCCCCCGCCTCCAAACGCCACCGCTGCGAAGCCCCTGCGCGCGCGCACACACGCACACGCACCCCCTCCCCAAGCCCAACCTTTCCATCCCAGCCCATGAATTTTATTGCGAGGGGGGGGAAAATGCCTTTACAGCTTCACAGGACGTCTCCCTCCTCCTCTCGCCCCGCCACCCCAAAAGCACACACAGGGCTCTTCCGCCAGTAGCAGTTTGGTCGCCCCGACCCTCGGGGCCTCAGACCCTCCCCCTGATAAAAGGAGGTCGCCCGAGTGTGTACCTGCGGGTTAATCATTTGGCGACTTATCTCCGGTGCAGCGCGCCTCCCTCCCGCGCGGGTGCGAGTCCATGAGACGCTGGAGCTCTTGAGCTCGGAGGGGAGGGTCCCAGGAGGGCTCCTAAGATTAGGGCCCTTGGCGCAGCCCTTGTGGTTGACCTTCCCCCCCCCCCCCCGCGCCGCGCTTCTCTTCTACCGCCCGCAGGGCAATCCCAGGGCCCGCCGACGCCCCCCACCACCCCCAAAACCGACGTGCAGCCGGGCAAGGCTGACCTGAAGCGCGAGGGCCGCCCCCTGCCCGAGGGGGGCCGACAGCCCCCCATCGACTTCCGCGACGTGGACATCGGGGAGCTGAGCAGCGACGTCATCTCCAACATAGAGACCTTCGACGTCAACGAATTCGACCAGTACCTGCCGCCCAACGGGCACCCCGGGGTGCCGGCCACGCACGGCCAGGTCACCTACACGGGCAGCTACGGCATCAGCAGCACCGCGGCCACCCCGGCGGGCGCGGGCCACGTGTGGATGTCCAAGCAGCAGGCGCCGCCGCCGCCGCCGCCGCCCCCGCAGCAGCCCCCGCAGGCGCCCCCGCAGCCCCCGCAGGCGCCCCCGCAGGCCCCGCAGGCGCCCCCGCAGCCGCAGCCCGCGCCCCCGCAGCCGCAGGCGGCGCACACGCTGACCCCGCTGAGCAGCGAGCCGGGCCAGGCCCAGCGAACGCACATCAAGACGGAGCAGCTGAGCCCCAGCCACTACAGCGAGCAGCAGCAGCACTCGCCGCAGCAGATCGCCTACAGCCCCTTCAGCCTCCCGCACTACAGCCCGTCCTACCCGCCCATCACCCGCTCGCAGTACGACTACACTGACCACCAGAACTCCGGCTCCTACTACAGCCACGCGGCGGGCCAGGGCTCCAGCCTCTACTCCACCTTCACCTACATGAACCCCGCGCAGAGGCCCATGTACACCCCCATCGCCGACACCTCCGGGGTCCCCTCCATCCCGCAGACGCACAGCCCCCAGCACTGGGAACAGCCTGTCTACACACAGCTCACCAGACCTTGAGGAGGAGGCCTTGCACCAAGGGTGGCCGCGATGATCCTAGAAAGAACCGAAGAAATAAAAGAACCAACCAGAATTCTCCTTGGGACCTTTTTTTCTTTTCTTTTTTTTTTTTTTTGGGTTTTTGTGTGTGTGTGTGTGTGTGTGTGCGCACGTGTGTGTGTGTGTGTGTGTGTGTTGCGTTTTGTTTTCCTTACTCCTTAAAGACACTTAAGCTAAAGGCAACTCCTACCCCAGATTCCCAAGACAGAAACAAGCGTTTAGCTCTCCAAACGCATTTTACCACCGTCGTCGTTGCAAAAACCAGTGGCCAGGCCACTCGTGTGGCCAGATGGACCCGTGGAGTCGATAAGAAATGGAACTTGAAAACTTATTTTTTTTTTTTCTTCTTCTTCTTCTTCTTCTTCTTCAAAGCGAGCATGGAGGATAAATAAGAATCGTGTGACCAGTTTGCTCAATCTCTCTGCCTGTTTGGACTTTGTAATTATTTTTTAGCAGTAATTAAAGAAAAAAAAAAGTCCTCTGTGAGGAATATTCTCTATTTTAAATATTTTTAGTATGTACTGTGTATGATTCATTACCATTTTGAGGGGATTTATACATATTTTTAGATAAAGAAATTAAATGCTCTTATTTTTCCAACAGCTAAAAACTACTTAGTCGAACAGTGTGCCCTAGCTTTTCCTGCAACCAGAGTATTTTTGTACAGATGTGCGCTCTCTTACAGAAAAAAAAAAAAAAAAAAAACAAAAAAAAAAGCGTGTGTGTGTTGTATTAACATAAAAAAAAACACGAATTTGTGTTATGTGATCAGTTTTGGGGGTTAGCTTTGCTTAATTCCTCAGGCTTTCTGACTCATGGAGGAGCTGCCTTAGAAAGAAAAAATAAAGGCCTTATTTTGCAAATAATGGAAGTAAACCATAGTCTAGAGAAGCATTTGGTAAGCTTTATCATATATATATTTTTTAAACAAGAGAAAATACCTTGAGCCTTAAAACCGTGCTGCTGGAAAATACTTGTGCTCTCTTTTAGTGCATTTCCTCCTGCATTTGCTTGTTTGCTGCAATCTTAAGACGTGAAAACCAAGCAAAGGAGATGAAATCTGTTCTGGGAATGTTTCAGCAGCCAATAAGTGCCCCAGCACACTGCCCCCTGGTTGCCTGCGCCAGCCCCATGTGGGACACAGATGCTAGAGCCCTCTCCCTTATGCTGTCACCTGTGCCTCTCCGAACACCAGCAGTTAACCTTCAAGACATTCCACGTGCTAAAATTATTTATTTTGTAAGGAGAGGTTTTCATTTAAAAAAAAAAAATCTTTCTCTTAATTTTTTTTTTTTTTAATCTTACCTTCTTTAAAATAGGTTGTTGGAGCCTTCCTCAAAGGGTATGGTCATCTGTTAAATTATGTTCTTAACTGTAACCAGTTTTTTTTATTTATCTCTTTAATCTTTTTTATTATTATTAAAAGCAAGTTTCTTTGGATTTCTTGTCCTAGATTTGTATAATATACATGCCTTTTTGTCTGTCCTTTTTTTTTTTTCTTTGTTGTTTTGTTGAAAACAAACTGGAAACTTGTTTCTCTTTTTTGTACAAATGAGAGGTTGCAAATGTAGTGTATCACTGAGTCATTTTCAGTGTTTTTCTGCCACAGATCTTTGGGCTGCCTAAATTTGTGTGTGTGTGTGTGTGTGTGTGTGTGTGTGTGTGTGTGTGTGTGTTGACACAAAACAATGCTGGCATGTGTCATGGATACTCCCCTGCATGTTCTCTTGGAGAGAGAGTGGAAAGGAGGAGGGGATCAGCCCACCGAGAGACCTGAATTCTTAATTCTTTCTGTGGCTGGAGAGTTTGAGGATTGCTTTTTAAAAAAGACAGCAAACTTTTTTTTTTTATTTAAAAAAAGATATATTAACAGTTTTAGAAGTCAGTAGAATAAAATCTTAAAGCACTCTTATAATATGGCATCTTTCAATTTCTGTATAAAAGCAGATCTTTAAAAAAATATTTCTGTAACTTAAGAAACCTGGCATTTAAATCATATTTTGTCCTTAGGTAAGGTTTGGTTTGTGTTTGTGTTTTGTTTGTTTTGCTTGTTTCCCCCCCAAACCTTTTGTTCTCTCTGTGAACTCATCTTTCCTTTTTTCTTTCTTTTTTTTTTTGTATATTATTGTTTACAATAAATATACATTGCATTAAAAAGAAAACGGCCCTGTGGACTGACTTATTCAAGCCCCATTCTCCCCTTCGAAGGACGATCTGAAGCATTGAGGCCCCAAAGAGATGGTTACTTATTGATCACCGTTATAGTCTCATTATTTTACGTGCACTTTGGTGATCCTGAAGTTGGCACTGATGAAAAGGCTGTGTCCCCAAAAATCTACGCGGAAGAATCTTGGAAAGTGTCACCCTGATAGGTCATCTAGACAATTATTTGCTTGCACAGGCAAAAATGTCTGTTGTGGTATCAACAGCCTTATGCTTCGGGGCAAAAGCTGTTCCCCTGTGGAAGTCGGAGGAGAATATTAGACCTGAAATCAGTAGCTTGTCAGTAGGCGGAATGCCAGAGGGGGTGACTTGCCTGTCTGAATTTAATGGAGCAAACTTTCTATTATTATGAACACAGACCAACGAGGGGTGTCCATTGTAAAAGGCAGAAGAGGCCAAAATAAAAGTTTTCGAAGAGGACTGGAGGGAAGTCTGTTTCATTAACCCATTAAATGATTCAGAGCCTTCCTGGTCTATCTGCAGGGACAATGGCATGGGATTACCTTATTTTGCTGTTCCCTTCAGTTTAACTCATTCTGAGAAGATGCAAAGCCGTGGTAGAAGTAATAAGACCTAATCCTGTTTTTCTTGGCCTGGGTAAGATGGGAGTTTCCAGGATCAGAGAAACGTCCAGGTCATTTTTCATTAAACAGATGAAATCACTCCTTTCCTTCCACCCCCACACAGACAACCCCCCACACACCCCACCCCACCCCCACCCCCCAAACAGACACCCTGGCGGATTGGGGAAGTATCTCTAAAGGAGGCAAGACTCTATCACCTCGGGCTGGTTTTACTTCTGGGCCCCTGTCTCCGACAGACCTCACGGGTCTCCAGACTCTCTGGTATCATTCCACATTGTCTGTTTTTGCTTTTTGGGATTGGGGCTTGCGTCCCACACCAGGATCATGGCAACCAGGAAAATGGTAGTTATCAAATAGAGACATTAGTTCTCGGCCTCCTTTGCAAATTCCTTCAACATTGATCGAGGGCCTGTGACCTGTGGGGTGCTGTGCAAATCTCCCCCTGCCCCCCCACCCCACCCCCAGACGTCACATTCTGTTGCTTGCTCATGCCACAGTGCCCCGCCGGCTTAGGCTCAGAGTCTAGCTTCCATTCTTACAAAATCTCTATTGTTTTTCCCCTTGCCAACACTCACAAAGTCCTTTTAAAAGTGTCTGTGGGGTTCACCAATTCTTGTCCACCCTTATTCACCCAAATCCCCATTATCTGTTAAACTCAACACATACCACCCGGTCCTGACCACCCTTTCCCCTACCAAATCCATAATGTTTGCAAGATTGTTTTCTCTTCTCCTAGAAATATGCTTTCTTGCTCAGTGTGTGACCTTCCACAGACCTTCTGAGAGCCAGAAGTATAATCTTGCTAGGTATGGAAGGGTGCAAGTTGTTCACTTTGCTATGCCTTCGTTTCCCCTTTTGTTAAGAATATTTATAATCTCTCCCTCTTATAACAGGGTTGCTATCAGAGCATTTTTTTTTAGCAAGAAGCGGTCTGGGAATTGACTGCGTCTGAATCTTCTGGCCCACACAGGATTCCTACAGCACCCCCCCCAAAAAAAGGTAAACAGTGAAAGGGGTATTCACAGGTTGGTTCTGAGACACAAGAAAACATAAGAGACCATGAAGCACAAAGAATTCCTCTGAACCCACCCACTCCCGTCCACCAGATCGAGGCAAAGCCCAGCCCCACCAGATTATAAAATATTTTAGAGGAATTTTTATTCTAAATCAAGAAACACACAGCTTATCACCCTGACAACAAGACATTTATTGAAAATCTAGGAAAGAGTCCTCCAGAACTGAAAAAGCTTATAATTAAATCCAGGGTTATTTTGTTTATTTGCATTCAAAATAAAACCTTTAAAAAAAAAAAAAAAAAGAACAAACTATTTTAACAAAAAGGGCCCTTTTTTAAATAACAAAAGGGAATAAACAGAAGGGAATAAAAACCTCACTTAGTCCTTTGGGCTATTATGAAAATGGCACTTACAGATTAGCTTGAGCTGTGTGTTTGGCTTTCCCACCTGAACTCCATCCTACTTCTTCTTTTCCCTGATTTCCACATGGAACATTTTTGAGGCACTGCTGGGGCACCTTTTAAGTTAACTTAATTGATGAACTATCACCGTAGCTGGAGATAGATTTACCATGGATGCTCAATAAGCTTAAGCCTTAGCCCTGGTCACTTGTACAGACTCCTTGTAAGGCCCTATACTTAATCTCATATTTAAATTTTTTTTTAATTAGAAAAAAAATTTTTTAAAGAGTGCCCTCCCTCAAACACACACACACACACACACACAACTATATAAACTCCAGGCCCCACAAAATCTGGATTTGCCCAAGATCAGAGCTGTTGGATGGTAAACCATGACATCAGAGGGGACAAGGAAAATATTTTTACTTCTATTCTCAACAGTGCCTGCTTACCGATCAGCAACCTTTCATCCCATCCCTGAACCCGGTGGCGATGTCACAGAACACATCACTGGGAATCTCTGCCGTAACACTCTACCGTGAGACCCTACCCAGTTTTCTTATCCCTCCGAGACTCCGACGATTTTCATTTCTCAAATGATACAATCTCATGGGCATAACAGGGGTTAAATGAGGTAAAGCACCCAAGACTGTTAATTACCCGTCCTTCTATATTTCTTCACACTTCTGACTCATTTCTGTTTTTTCCTATCTGACACCACCTCTTTCCTGCATTTTCTTAGCGTGTCCCATTGACTCTTGCAGCTGAAAAAGATTTGCTGGGCCCTGATTGGGTTATTCCTTGGCCATCATTCACAGACCAGACCCCTTTCACTCACTCTGTATATCTGAAGAAGAATTATTTTAGACCAATCACAACACAGAGCCGGTAGAGTCAGATTCGGATTTATTGCAAACAACCAGGCAAAATTCAAGGCAATATGTACATTATTTTGAAGCTACTGCAGGACTCATCCCTTGAGATTTCAGGATTTTATAATGAACGTAATCCGATTACCGTGATATCCTGCCACCATATTCCACGTGAGGAAGACTTCCATTCCTCATTGCCTGCACAAACATTTGCAAAACATCTCCTGTGGGTCAGGATGCAGGAGCGGACAAGGACAGATACGGTCCCTGCCCTCGGGGGCTTACAATTTTCAGTAGTGAGGGCAGAGTAGAAATACTCTGGTATTTTCTAGTTCACTTATGCTATGAAAAAAAATGCAACTGCCTAAGGCCAGTTGGGAGGCTCATCATCCAGACAAGAGATGATGGTGGTCTAGTCTCAGATGCAGAAGGACTGGGTAGTTGATGGATTTGGGTATGATTTTGATGAAAACTTCCTGGCCTCTTGCTCTCCTAATCTCCATCAATTTTTCGGTGATTAAATTTACTCTGACCCATTTTACATGAAAGCGACCCACTCTGTTTTTACCTTAGTCATTCCTTGCTGGTCCCCTGCAATAACACCCTTAGGCTCTCTACCTCTTGATGAACCACTCATTCATGCATCACACAAATCTCTTTTTACCGGAGACCTCAAGAGAAGGATCCAGTCTCTGAAATCCAAGAAGGTCTCTCCATCTCCAGAGACTTGCTCAATGCACCCCCCCCCAGGTTTATGGAATCAGAAATATGGAACATATGGTGGGTGGTGTTTTAGTTTTATTGTGTCCTCATTGCAAAAATTCTTTATGCAACATCTCAGCCACTCTTTTCTAGGGTGCTCATATTGATTGAGAACTCACTTCCCCTGTCCTGGAGAGTTTGTTTTTTTTTTTTTTTTTTTTTTTTAATTTATTTATTTTAGAAAGAGAGAGTAGAGGGGAAGAGAGAGAGGGAGAATCTCAAGCAGACTTCCCGCTGAGTATGGAACCTGACGTGGGCCTCCATCCCAGAACCCTGAGATCATAACCTGAGCCAAAATCAGGAGTCAGCTGCCCCACCAACTGAGCCACCCAGGTGCCTCTGTCCTGGAGAGCTTTAATTGTGCAAAAGTCTTAATCTCTGCAGTCTCTATCAAGGGTCCAAGCTGACCCCACTCTATACCAACATGGTGGGAGACTTGTCTTTCTTTCAAATGATAGCCCTTCAACTAGTTACACAGTTTTCAAGTTTTCTTTCAGTTTTTCAACATTTCTAATACACTTTACACATGACCTGGTTCCCAAACCCTTCCCTACCTTGTCATTCCTCTTTGAATCTATTTCACTTACTAGCATTCCTCAAATTAATTCTAGGACTCCAAATATGGTTTGACTAATATAGAAGATGAGTCGATTCACCCCTTTTGTAAGCAGAAACTGTGTTTTTATTAAGTTAAAATCGTATTCATTGTCGTGGTAGCCAAAGCATCCACTTATGGTACGGTGAGATATTTCTCACCTATCCTAAAATCATACAACTGAGTTTTTTAACTTCATTACCCAGTTTTACATTAGCCTCTGTTTTGACTGGACTTCACGGAAGGAAAATGAGGAAAAGGGATTTACATCATTGAGCCCTTTTATCACCAGGCCCTGTGACAGATGTTTTATATACATGATCTCATTTAATCCATTTAATAACCCTTAGAGACAGGTGTTATTGTTATAGTTTTATTAAGGAGGAAACTGAGGCTCAGAGAGATTAAACAATTGGCCTAAGGTCCTGTCACTAGCAAATGGCACAGACAACTACCATTGACTCCCTGCAACCCACTACCTGCCCTCCACCTACTGAATCTTCAGTTTTCAAGGGAAAATTTGAAATAGAATTTATAATGAGAAAAAGAGAATAAATTCTTATGTTGTAAATTATTTTTTAGAAAATCTCTTTAAAGGACAATCTGGGGATCCCTGGGTGGCGCAGCGGTTTGGCGCCTGCCTTTGGCCCAGGGCGCGATCCTGGAGACCCGGGATCGAATCCCACATCAGGCTCCCAGTGCATGGAGC